CACCAACCCAGAACTTTATTCAAAACTTTATTATAACAATGCTAAGGGGCAAGGCAAAAGACATTCCCCTGCTAGATACAGCCAAGTGTAGACCCTTCCAAATACCTGGCCCCCAGGCCCTTGGTCCAATCATCCTCTTATGCAGCCCTGCTGGTAAAGCCAGCTCAGATCTCACTAGGAAACCTCTGTGAGCTCCGACAAAATAAAAGATTAAGCTGTCCTAAATTTGATGTATAGACTTAACATAATCCCTGCCAAAGTTCTAGAGAATTTTTGTAGGCATCCACAAATTGATTCTCAAATTCCTTGGGGATGGTAAAGAAGCTAACACAGCCACATAAATTGGAAGAAAACAAAGTTAGAGGACAATATAATTGGCCTTCTCCATCAATGAGTTCCACACATACAAATTTAATCAATCATGGGTGGGTAATACTTAGAAAAACAAATATATCCGGAATGAATATATACAGACCTTTTGTCATTATTTCCTGAATAATATAGCATAATAATGATTTACATAATGTTTAATTGCATGTGGTATCATAAGCAGTCTATGGGAGGATGTGGACATGTTATCTGTAACAGGCACTTTGTATACTTTATAACAAGCACTTGAACATGGTGTTTTGATATTTGTCAGGGTCTGAGGCCCAATTCCTTAGTACTAGCAAAGTTCTTCACATGTATCCTGATTTCAAAATCAACTTTGTACCCACTAACTAGAAACAGTATAGTTCTGGCTACAAGATGAACACATAGATCAGTAAATCAGAAGAAGCAGGAAATAGAGCATTTAGCCTTGTTCAACTGACTTTTTAAGGTGCAAGGAAATTCAACAGGGAAGGAATAATCTTTCCAATAATGGTTAAAAAAAAAAAAACACCTGAATATCATACTGTGGTGATGTATTGTGTGCCCAATAAAGCTTGACAGAGGATCAGAGGACAGAGCCAGCCGCTAGATTAAACATAGAGGCCAGACAGTGGTGGCACACACCCTTACTCCTATCACTCAGGAGGCAGAGGGCCATCTGGATCTCTGTGAGTTCAAGGCCACACTGGGAGCAGAGCCAGGCAGTGGTGGCACACACCTTTAATCCCAGTACTGGGAAGCACACACATCTTTAATCCCAGGAAGGGATGGCATGAGCAAACAGGAACTAAAGCAGTTCAGCTGAGACCCATTTGAGTGAGGACTCAGAGGACTTCAGTCTGAGGAAACAAGATCAGCTGAGGAGTTGGTGAGGTGAGGTTGGCTGTGGCTTGCTTTGCTTCTCTGAACTTTCAGCTTTCACCCCAATATCTGGCTCTGGGTTGTTTTTTTTTTTTTTTTTAAATTAAAAGACTATCTAAGATTTGAACAGCATCATATGAAAACAAAACAAGAAAAAGACTTCACAATGCCACTGTTTTTATTCATTCAAAAATATTGGGCAGCTGGTGTATGTGCAGCAATTTAAACAACATTCCTGTACCTCTCTTTTTATTACATTTATTAGTTGACTTTTCTGTGCATATGGGGGGGAGGTGTCACACATGAAACACAGTGTGGGTATGGATGTGATAGAACAACTTGCTGGAGTCAGTTCTGTCCCTCCAGCATGTGGGGCCTGGGGTTTGGACTCAGGTCATCAGACTTGGCCAAAGACATCTTTGCTTACTGACCCATTTCATAGGCCCGTTTCTTCCTTTTAGTGATGATGTCAATATACTGAAACTAAAGGAATGCAGTAGAATATTATTTTAAGGTGTGTTACTTTTGTTTATGTTGCATTTGTTTAACTCTGTGAAGCTGTGTTACTGTGCCTGTGTAAAACACCTGATGGTCTAATAAAGAACTGAACGACCACTAGTGAGACAGGAGAAAGGATAGGCTTGGTGGCAGGCAGAGAATATATATATAGAAGGAGAAATCTGGGAGGAGAGATCTAAGATCTAGGAGCCAGAGAAGGAAGAAGACTCCAGGGGCCAGCTACCAGCTACACAATCAGCCAACCACAGAGTAAGAAACAAAGAAAGGTATTTAGGAATAGGAAGGGAAAAGCCCAAAGGCAAAAAGTAGTCAGGATAAGTTAAGCTGGCTAGAAACTAAGCCAAGCTAAGGCCGGGCATTCATAATTAAGAATAAGCCTCTGTGAGTGATTTATTTGGGAGCTGGGTGGCGGGCCCCCCAAAAAAGTAAAATAACAGCAATAAGGGAGTACTTCAGTCTTGAAAAATGTAAAACAGCTGTAGCAATGTTGCCGTAATGATTACTTGACTTGTAAGAACAAAATGAAAACCTACCTGACCACAAAACCTAATTGGTGGAGCTGAGGGACAAAGCCCTCATAAGGACCACTTAACTGTTGGCCAATTCAATTCACAGGTCTATATTTGAAGCCTGGGGCTGATTTACTGGTTCATTAACTGTTGTGTGGTGATATTTTGTTTGTGTTGTGACAAATAAAGCTTGCCTGGAGATCAGAGAGCAGAGCAGCCACTAGTTAACCATAGAGGTCAGGCGGTGGTAGCACACACATTTAATCCCAGCACTTGGAAAGAGGAAGCAGGAGGATCAGGAGCTCAAGGCCACCCTGGGCTACATGAGATTGAACCAGTCTAAAAGAGAAACAGAGCCAGTTGGTGGTGCCTCACACCTTTAATCCCAGCACTAGGGAGGTAGAGACAGGAATATAAAGCAGGTCGGGACAAGATCTCACCCATTGAGTCTGAGGATTTGTAGAGACAGAATCTCCCCACTTTTGGTCTAAGAATTCAGAGAGGTAAGAACTGACTGTGGCTGCTCCTTTGCTTCTCTGATCTTTCAGCTTTCACCCTGATATCTGACTCTGGGTTTTTATTAAGACTAAGTAGGATCATGCTTCAATTAACAAAGATTCCTTCAAGTCCTAATGTCTATACCCAATGTTGATATTTGCCAAAAGATCTAGATAGCCTATATAAAGTGAGGAACTGGCAAATTCATTTGCCATTCTTGTTTTTCCATGTCATAAGAGATGAAGGCGTTGATTTCTGTGTTTGCATTTCTTTGTCCAGGGAATACAATTCAATCTGAGGGAAAGTGCTGCAGGGAGCTTTGCTGCCATTTTTGTGGCTACAGCCATGCCAAACCAGTGCCATCTCTGGAAGAAGCAGATTGTAGAGTATTATTTTCAGATGTGTTACATTTGTTTATGCTGGGGAACATTTGTTTAGTGATGCAAAGATGTGTGGCATTCCTTTATGTTGCATTTGTTTAACTCTGTGAAGCTGTGTTACTGTGCCTGTCTAAAACACCTGATGGTCTAATAAAGACTTGAATAGCCAATAGGGAGGCAGGAGAAAGGACAGGCAGCATTAGCAGGCAGAGAGAATAAGAAGGAGAAATCTGGAAGGAGAGGAAGGAAGAGCAAGAGAACAAGGAGAGGAGGACATCAGGGGCTAGTGACCCAGCCAGCCACAGAGTAAGAGTGCAAGTAAGATATACTTAAAGTATGAAAAGGAAAAAAGCTAAAGGGAAACTGAATCTTTGGCTGATAAATTTACTCAATATTGAAGATTTTAAATTCATTTATCTGACTTTGTAATTGTTTCACTTAAACTCTTATTTGACAGAGGATAGATAGGAGAAAGGAAGTGAAAAGCACTAAATTTATTCAGTTTAGCTCCCTGACTTAACAGGGAGACTGGAGGTGAATGTTCTCACTGCACCAAAGCCTGAGGCTTTTCTGCGGAGTGCTGACACGCGTCCTTCATCTGTTGGTTCCACAGAAACATCGTAGGCGATTGGAAGGAAAATCATAGACACATTGAAAATCGTCAGCTTTTTTTTTTTTTTGTATATATACTAATGCTTGAAAATAACTTTTCACCTTTCATGTTTGAAGCTTTATTTCTTTTCATGGGCAAGTCCCAGTCTTATGAATGTGTCTTAACAGCTGTGACTTGATGGGCAGGCAGTCTTCCCGGCTCAGGAGGTCCCAGCCACCACAAGAATCAGAACGGCAGAATCAATTCTGTCAAGACACCTGCTAAGTAAAGGAGACCGGACCTCGGATTTGACTAGGTTTATTAGAGAGCTGGTTTATCAGCCAGGAGGAAGAAGGGCTTTAATTGCCCTGCGGGTGGTACACAGTGTTTGGTCCTGTGCGCCAAAACTCAAGTGAAGTTGAATACCACGTTCTTTCACTATAGAAGGTTTTTCGTGGAGTCTAAACACTTTTACAGCAAAACCGAGAAACATCTTTTATTCTCATTCCCTCTTTTTCCCTGTCTTCCCTCTCCCTCCCTTCCTCCCTCCCGCCTTCTCTCTCTTTTCATTTACCTGTCAACAGGGTGTCATAATTTATGCTGAAGAGACAGAAAATTAGAGAATAGCTTCGTGTGGCTTACTGTCCACCCGATCATTATGAAAGAGGGTCGGGTTGGATTCCTTTTACAAGAACAAGCTGATTTTGTGTGTGTGTGTGTGTGTGTGTGTGTGTGTGTGTGTGTGTGTGTGTGTGTATTTCATTTTTATTCTCCTTAGCAAAAAAAACTTAATTTCCCATCATTCGAAAGTTACTTGATCCTTTGGTCCTCCTACAACTGAAAACGCCTCATCCTGGGCTCTTGCTTCCTGCAAAGTAAGCCGGGTGGGTTGTCTAGGCAAAGCGGACACAGCGGGAGAGGGCAGCAACTACGTTTCCCAGCATGCCCTGCTGGGAGCACAATGGAGCATGGCGTCATCCGGATCACGTGGCGGCGGCGCGTTTCCCGACGCTCTGAGGGAGTCCCGCTAGGGTCCCTCCCCATGCGGAGGGCCCTGCTGGGCAGGGAAAACTACAATTCCCGGCATGCCTCACCTCGGGTGCGCCTGCGTACAGGAGCAGCCCGGCGGGCGAGCGGGTTGGTTTAAAGCGCTGTAGTCCCATGGAAACAGACCTGCTGGCCGCGGGACGGAACTGCAGGCTGGTAGATGAGTTAGGGGTGAGGCTGGGGCCGGGTCGGTAGAGGGAGGTGGGCGGCGCGGGGGAGAGGCCACAGTCCCGCCCCACCTCCCCCGTCCTCCAGAGCCTTGGTCTACCCTGCCTCCGCACGCTGCCTGGCAGTGAAAACCGCCTCCGGCTCCATTGGCTTTGGTTGGAGCGTAGCCGCAGGAGGGTGGCGGGTCGCTGAGACCCCTCCATGAGCCTCCTTTCCCTTCCTGGGAAGGCCTTTTCAGCACTAACGTTACGTTTGGTTTTCTTTTTCTTTTTGGTTTACTGAGACAGGGTTTCTCTGTGTGGCTCTGTAGACCAGGCTGGCCTCGAACTCACGGAGATCCTCCTGCCTCTGCCTCCCGAGTGCTGGAATTAAAGGCGTGCATCACCACCGCCCGCCCCGGCTTAATGTTTGGTTTTTTCCCACTGGTTTTCCTCCCTGGCTTGCTTCCTAGACAAGAGGGGTTTTCATTTGCGCACTGTTTCCTGCCTGTGCTGGAATAGACCTTGTTAAATATTTATTGTCATGTTTGTTTGGCACCCACAGCAGCCAAGGCACTATGTGCTATAAAACAAACTAACTACACCCCCCCCCAAAAAAAAAGCCCCTAAGGACTGTAATTCTACTTGAAGACATGTTAATCAACATGGGACAACTGACTCTTGTTTTTTATGGACTCCCCCAGTGATAGGGAGTTGGAAAGAGGATGAAGGGCATTTCCAACTTTACACTTGTGTTATCGTTTTAAGCTTCTGAGTCCAAAGTAAAGACAGAAAAGACAAGCTCAGCCATGGACTTGTAAGGGGTGTTACATGGGGGTGGGACAGGACCTCTTCAGAGACTCTGAGAATGCCCACGGTGTTAAGGGCAGATTTTTTTGGCTGGTGTCAATTTCGGAAAGAGAGAGAAAGGAGACTGCAAAAGACAAACGCTCTCTTTCTGAGACCTCAGAAAACATGGAAGCTTACCAGTTAGGATCTGCTAAGGTAGGTAGAGATGAATATATTTCATTAAGGCACAATTATTTATTTATTTATTTAGTTAGTTAGTTAGCTATGCTTGGAGGTAGGGTCTTGTGTAGCCCAAACTGCCCTCAAACTCACTGTGCATTGAGGACGATGTTGAGCTTCTCATCCTCAGGTCTCCACCTCAAATGCTAGAATTACAGGCATACACCACCACATGGGCTTGGCGAGCACCCTACCGTGATACACCCCAGGTGCCTCCTCAGGATAGGCAGGGCTGGTAGGCAGAGAGGATATATAGAAGGAGAAATCTGGGAGAGATCTAGAAGCAAGAGAAGGAGGAGGACATCAGGGGCCAGCCGCCAAGCTACACAACCAGCAATGGAGTAAGAAAGAAAGGTATACAGAGGCAAAAGAAAGATGGGTTAACAAAGTTAAGAAAAGCTGACAAGAAACAAGCCAAGCTAAGGCTGAGCATTTATAATTAAGAATAAGCCTCTGTGTGTGATTTATTTGGGAGCTGGGTGGCAGGCCCCCAAAAGAGCAAATACAAACAATAACACCTTCCATTTTTTAATGTCTTTATCTCTTTCTTCAGAGGTTTAAAGTTTTCATTGTAGAGGTCCTTCACTTCCTTGGTGAGGTTTATTCCCAATTGTTTTTCTTTGAGTATATTGTGAATGGGAATGTGTCCATGGTCTTCTCTGTATGTTGGTAGTATATAGAAAAGCTGTTCATTTGTGGAAGTTGATTGTGTGTCCTGCCATGTTTCTGAATTTATTTATTTCTAGAAGTTTTCTGGTAGAAATTCTTGGGATCTCTGTAGTATCATATCATCTGCAATTAGAGATAGTTTGAGTACTTCTTTCCCTATTTGTTTTCCTTTAATTGCTTTCTCTTGCCTGTTGCTCAAGCTGATACTTTGAGCACAATGTGGGGATAGTAGACATCCCTGTCTCATTCCTGACTTCAGTGTGATTTCTTCAAGATTTTCTCCATTTAGGATGATGTTGGCTGTGGGTTTCTTGCATATAGCTTTTTTGGTGTGTGTGTGTGTGTGTGTGTGTGTGTGTGTGTGTGTGTGTGTGTGTGTGTATTTTCTCTCTAGCTCTACATTCTCTAGAATGTTTATCATGATAGCATTTTGGATTTTGTCAAAGGCTTTTTCTGCATCTATTGAGATCATGTGATTTTTGTCTTTTAAATCCATTTATGTGGTTTATTACATTTATTGGCTTGTATATGTTGAACCATCCCTGCATTTCAGGCATAAAGTCAACTTGGTCATGATGTATAATCTTTTTGATGCATTCCATATTCTTTAAAATATTTTTTTGTATATTTTTGAGTCTATGTTCATCAGGGATATTGGTCTTTAGTCTATCTTCCTTCCTTCCCTTCCTCCCTCCTTCCCTCCTTCTTCCCTCCCTCCTCTTCTTACCTTTCCTCCTCCTCCTTCACTGTTGCATCTTTATCTAGTTTGGTTAATAGAAAGTTATTGGTTTTGTACAAAGAGTGCTCCTTATGTTTCTACTTTTTTTTTTTTTTTAATAGTTTAAGGATTATGTCTCTTGTTTGAGGACTGTTCTTTGAATGTCTGCTAGAATTCTGCAGGAAATCTGAACTTTTTTTTGGCTGGAAAACTTATTACTATTTGAATATCCTCATTTGTGTTGGGTCTGTTTTGGTTGTTGACTTCTTAGCTTAATTTTGGTGGTTTGCCTTAATCTAGAAATTCAGCTGTTTCTTTTGGCTTTCCCAGTTTAATGTAGTGCAGGTTTTTAAAATATTCCCCTAAAATATTATGAATTTCTTGGTGTCATTTGTAATGCTTCCCTATTCATTTTTTATTTTGTCACTTTGGGTCCTGGCTCTCTTTTGGTCAGGTGGGCTAAGGGTCTGTCAATATTGTTTACCTTTTCAAAAGAACCAGTCTTAGATTAGTTGATTCTTTGTATTGGGGGCGGGGTTGTTTGTTTGTTTTTTCTATTTCATTGATTTCTGTTCTGATTTTTATTATTTCTTGCCATTGGCTGTGTCTGGATTTGGTTTGTTTTTTCCAACTTTTGGAGTTGCATCTTTAGTTATTTAGTTGTGCTCTTTCTGATTTTTTTAATGTAGGCACCTAGAGTTATAAATTTTCCTCATAGGACTGATTTCATTACGTCCTAGAGGTTGTAGTGTCTTATGGTTTTATTTTCATTTAGTTAAATAAGTATCTCTTTCTTTATTTCTTCTTTTATCATTTCATCATTCTTTAATGAGTTGTTTAATCCCTATGAGTTTGTATATTTACTAGAGATTTTTTTCTTTTTGCTATCCATTTCAAATTTTATTGCATTATGGTCACATAGAATATAAGGAGTGATTTCATGTTTTTGAGTTTGTAAAGATCTGTTATTGTATCTCAAGATGTCATCTATTTTTAGTTCTGCTTCTATGTGCCACTGAGTAGAATGTATAACCTTTGGTGTTTATGTAGAATATACTGTAGATAATAAGTCTATTTGTTATATGATATCAGTTAATTCTGATGTTTCTGTTTATTTTTTGTCCAGATGACCCATCTATTGGAGAAAGTAGGACATTGAAATCACCTACTATTAAAAGATTGAAGTTAATCTGTGTTTTAAATCAAGAACTAGATTTTCTTTCTTTCTTTCTTTCTTTCTTTCTTTCTTTCTTTCTTTCTTTCTTTCTTTCTTTCTTTCTTTCTTTTTTTTTTTTAATGAAATTGGGCACCCTTGAGTTTGGTGCATGTATGTTTAGGATTGTAATGTCTTCTTGGTTGTCTTCCCTTGATTAGAATGAAATGTCCTTTTTTATCTCATTTGATTAGTTTTAGTTTGAAGTCTATTTTATCAGATATTTGGATGGCAATGCTTGCTTCCTAGTCTCCTTTTGTACATCCTTTTACTCCAAGATAGTACCTGTCTTTAAACTAAGATGTGTTTCTCGTAGGCAACAGATGGATTTATGTCTTGATCAATTCAGCCAGTTTTGTATCTTTTGATTAGAGAATTGAGACCATTAATATTTAAAGTTGTTATTGAAAAGTGTGTATGTGTGTTTGCTTTTTGTTTTGTTTTTTGAGACAGGGTTTCTCTGCGTAGCCCTGGCTGCCCTAGAACTCACTGTATAGACCAGGCTGCCCTTGAACTCAGAATGTTGCCTGCCTCTACTTCCCAAGTGCTGAGATTAAAAGCATGTGTCACCACCATCCAGCATTTGAAAAGTGTGTGTTAATTGTGGTCACTGTATTGTTGATTTATGTTGGTGTATTTTGTGGTTTTGGTGGTATTTTGTGTTTTAATAATTATAGCTTTGTATTTCTTTCCACAGTCTCTTTGATGTGCTTCTTCCACTCTTCAGCCTGAAATAATGCATTTGTTCTCTTTAAGTTCTTTCACCTTAATTTCACTGATCTGTTTCTTTGTATCTTCTTTAAATCCCTCAAATTCTTTGATGAAATTGAAATTAAGATTTTCTTTTAAGTTCTGTGTCCTGGAGTTCATCTAGGTAGTTCTCATTGGCAGACATTTCTACAGGAGTAGTAGGTTTTATAGAGAAGATACTGGCTTGATCTTTCCCATTGTTTATATTCTTGTAAGGAGACCTGGGCATATGGATTGTTCTCTGTAACACATTTTTTTTCTGTCCCACCAGCCAGCTCCCAGATAATGACATGGAGACTTCTTATTAATTATGAAAGCTTGGCCTATAGCTTAGGTTTGTTCCTAACTAGCTCTTATAACTTAAATTAACCAATTTATATTAATCTACATTCTATCACATGGCATTACCTCTCTTCCATCTTGTACCTCTTGTTTCCTCTCCATGTCTCCTGGCATCTCTTGTGTGCCTAGATTCTCTTCTTCTTCCTTTCTCTCCCTGGAAATCCTGCCTATACTTCCTGCCTACCTATTGACTGTTCAGCTTTTTACTACACCAGTCATAGCAAATACATCTTCACACAGTGTACAAATATCCCACAACATTTCCCCCTTTTTGTCTAATAAAAAGGAAAGGTTTTAACTCTAACATAGCAAAACTGTGTACAATAAGAACAGGTAGGAATTATATCCACAATGTCCAGTCCATTTGTATTTGGCAAATTTAGAGAAAGACTATTTTCTAACCTATCTTAGTGAGTCCAAAGTTTTGTACCTAATTCACTTCCTATCCTAACTTGTATTACCAATGCAAAAGTATCCTTTTAGACCTCAAAGCATTTTCTTAGATAAACAATTTGTTTTTCTGTTTCTCTACCTTATACACTTTCTATCTCTCATGTAACTTTTTGTTTCTGAATTTGGTAACAAGGAAAATTGTAACTATAACTATCTCATCTTCAACTCTATCAGCAGCCTAAGAAGGATATAATATTACCCAAGTAAACAGGAAGTGCAGAGCAAACAACTTCTAAGACTATAGAAATTAAAGAGGCAGATGGCTGTCTGGACAGCCACCCAAGATTCTTCTGCAACATTGGGGCATCTGTCTTTGGCCTACAGACCTAGAATATCTGACAGACTTTTCTATGAAGCAGGAATTTTGAAGAACTGTCCTACTTTGTCTTGGCAAAATTAGGCTGTCACCTTCTTTTGTGTCCTGCTTATTTAGTTCGGGCAGCATAATGTCAGTAGTTGAGGCAAGGGCAGTTTCTTTGCCCAGTGACTAACTTTGTCATAAAGAAAGCAAACTCCATATGGAGGTTCTTCAATGCCCATCATTCTTTTTTGAAATAGATTGTTACGTACTACCAGAAGCAGATGAGTCTCACTCTGATGAAAAACCTTGGCATCTCCCTGTCATGAAAAGTCTTATGTTATTAAAACATCTTAAATGCTATATTCTGGAGGTCTATGAATTGTTTGAAGACCATCTATCTATCTAAAATATAGCTCTGTATAACCTTAAAAGCATACCTAGCATGACTACAAGTTTGATTGTTATAGATGACTAACTACTAACCTGCATTTCTTAATTATTTTAAATGGTTTATCATATTAGCTTTCAAG